TTGCTGCCATAGACACCATGACCAAAAGCAACTTGGGAAGGAAACGGTTTATTTGGCAAACATGATCCAGTTACAGTCCATCATTGGGAAAGTTGGAGAAGGCACCATGGAGGAAGATCACTTACTGGCCTGCATTCCTTAGCTTTCTCAGCCACCTTTATATATATATATATATTTATATCCAAACAAATTGTGAGATTTTATTTACTTCTAGGTGATGTGTGGTGGTTTTCTCTGCATGTATGTCTGTGGGCTGTGTGTGTACAGCACCTCTGGAGGCCACAAGAAGGCATCAGATCCCTTGATGTTGGAGTTACATACATTGTGAGCCACCATGTAGGTTCTGGGAATTGAACTTGGGTCCTTTGAAAGATCAGACAGTGCTCTTTACCTCTGAATCAGCTCCTTAGCTCCCCGGCTCTCTTTCTTATACAGCCCAGGCCCACTTTTCCCAGGGATGGTATTGCAACCCACAGTGGGCTGGGCTATATCTGATCAGCAATCAAGAAAACACCCCACAGGTATTCACAGGCCAGTCTGATGGAGGCGATTCTTCAGTTGAGATTCTTTCTTCCCAAATATGTGTCAGACAAAAAATGACATACTTACATTAGTCATGTAAGCAAAAGGAGCAAATATAAAAGATAGCTAAAATTCTTTCCTGAGACATATTTAGATATAACAAGAAAAACCTTCAAACCATTCATCTGAAAGATGGCATCATATTAACCTTTGTCAATATGCATTTATGGGTGTCTTCTATCATCCTCTAGTCTAGGGGTTCTCAACTGTCCTAAAGCCCTGACCCTTTAATACAGTGTCATGGTGTTCCCAAGCATATTATTATTTCATTGCTACTTCAGAACTGTACCATGGAAACATCTGATATACAACCCCGTGTGGGTCGCGACCCACGGGTTGAGAACCATCACTCTAAGCTTGCCAGCCCCACAACCATCAGGTTGGATGAGTTAATTGCCCCCAAAGTTTTCCACAAGAAAGGCAAGGGCTGTGATCCTAGCCTACGTTTCTGGCTGTGTTCCCAGTTAAATGTCACAACAGTAACTGCCTTTGGGATACCTATTCTTTTTGTTCACAGAAGAGCCTCTTTATTGGAGATTCTGAATAATTATATACTATGCTCCTCTTTCCTCCACATAATATGAAAATTGTTCATTTTCCTTTTTCTCTATGGTAACTGCTGGGGTATTTAAAGCCTGTGTCTATTCTCTCTTAAGTTTGTATCCAGTTTCCCAGGGGGTAAATCTGGAAATATTTTTAAAAAACAGAGATAAGCAGTTTAGGTTGACAGAAGCATGAATTTCAGGCACAATCCCTCTTCAACCAGGCTGTTCCCTGAGGCCTGTGAGCATCTTTACACATCGGGACTTTTCTGGTGCCCATTATTCAGCGTAGACCGTTCTTCTCAGTTTCTAAGACTTTTGGACTCTTCCATGTTTCTCTGTCAGCCCTGTGTGCCCCTACGTCAGGATGCTGTCAGCTAGGAGAGAGCTGTCTACCATTCACTGTTTACACAGAGTGTGTGCTGTTGCTGGTTTCTTCGTTTTAAAACGTCATAGGTTCACATGTACACGTCCGAGAGCAATCTTTTCCATCAGATTACCTCTCCCTATGTCTTGGTGTGATTCCTGTCTGCAAGGTGAACTGGTTTCCTAGAACAATAAGGAAGACCAGATAGTGGGTTGAGGGTACCAGGAGGCAAACTGCTCATCAGGGAGCAAGTGGTTTGGTTACTCTGTAGGTCTTGTCATTCTTGGCTTTTCATCTACAGTCGCAAATCCTGTGAGCAGAGAGAGGGGGAACAGATGCTTGTGCCCATAACTCTGGGCTGTGACCTTGGACGGGGGAAGGCTGCTGGGGAGGACCACACAGCCGTGGCTGTGGGGCAGAGCTGACAGCTGACAGCCAGCTGAGCCAACCCGGCAGCGGGCTTTCTGGTTCCCACAGGCTACATGTGAGGCTCAATTAGGTCAGTCTTCTTGCTCCGATTACTTTCCTCTGGTTACACTGAGAAGACTGTAGTTAGTGCTCGTTTGCCCTTGGTTCTAGGAATGAAACGTACGTGTTCGTTTACAGAGCTATACGGCTGGAGCTGATCCTGCTTGATACAGTTCAAAAAAGTAGTGTGTATAGTTTCATTGTCTCATTTCTTCCAACCCATAACTCCCTGGGGTGAGACAGCATCTGCTCCTGCAAGAGAAATAACTGAAGCTTCCCCCTTGTTTTTCCTGGGCTTTGGACTCCAGGGAGATTAATACACCTCCATTCTTTTGGAATCCTAGATATTTGCACAGAAATTTAGCGACAGACAATTGTAAAGCTGTTCTGTTAGATGTAAGATTCTTGTGAAAGGAATTCATATATATATATATATATATATGTATATATATATATATATGCCTAAGAAGAGGTATTGAAAGGATAGGAGGGAGTTTGGGGGTACAGCTCACTGTAGAGTCCTTGCCTATTATCTATGATCCCCCAAAAAGAAAGTAAACAAGAACAAATTTCAAGACATTTCAAAAGCCTTTAAAGATAGTAAATTATCAAGTGGAAATTTAATCTCAAAGATCCCACATTCATAAACCAAAAAATTTCTCTTCCAAATATTTAGAGTATTTATGGCTAACACGTCCACACTGCGACCTCTTAGACCAAGACTACATGAGATTTCAGGCATTTAGACGTAGTATTCAGTCCACAGCTTGTTAGAGCACGGAAAGTGTTGATGTAATTCTCTCGTGTCTTTGCAGTTGTCCCAAAGCACAGGAGCAGGCATGCAACATGAGCCAATTAATTTCTAAATTTCTTAATGCATGTCAGCACTGTAGTCTGTTAGTGTGGAGAAATGGACTTTCCATCTTATGATAAAACTGTACTGCCCACTCACCCTAACCCCCAAAGAGGACGGGGAACAGAACAGAATGACAAGCAGAGGGGGAAAAAATGAGGTTATCAAAACACAGCACAGGACCTGCTTTTAAAGGGAGGTTAGAATCTCATGAGGGACGAAAGGAGATGTGGAAACAAGGGGAGTTGATGTGAGCATGCGCCTTATCTCATGCCAGACTGTCTGTGATCCACATGCATGCAATGCCTGAAGAGGCCAGAAGAGGGCGCAATGTCCCCCAGAACTGGAGTCACAGATGGTTGTGAGCAGCCATGTGGGTGCTGGGAACAGAACCCAGGTCTTCTGCAAGAACAGCCAGCGCTCTAACCACTTAGCAACCTTTCCAGCCCAGCACTGACACATACCCAGACCAGGACCCAGGGTTTTGCCAGGGAGGTAGATGAATAAGTAGATTTTTTTTTCCTAAGTCGTATTTCTACTTCCCAATCAAACAACAAATAAGCAGGTCGCTAGTCATTACACTGAATGCTTCCTTAGGTCGAATGCATTTCATATCCAAGGAAGCTTCACAACTTTATAGGATGACAAAGTGGAGAGCAGGGACACGTGGTGAGGAGACACAGGCCTCCAGTCCCAGCGCTCAGAAGTTAAGGCTTTGGCATCTGTCCACTCTGCCCCAGTTCAGAATCCTAATTCACAACACTGCTGATATTCCATAAGGTTTGAAACCTAGGTTGGTGAGTGTTTCCTTTGATCTGATACAGGTGATGAAATAGGTTTAAATGAGGCCTAGTACCAACACCACATACTGCACAGGGTTAGGGAAACTGAGAAGGAACCCCAAATGTACTCCTTCACAAGCTACCTGTATTGAACTGAGCTCCAGGCTGTTTCTGCCCTGACCATAGGCTGTTGAGCTGGGGTCCCCACAGTGACCCTCATGCTTGGCTACATTCGCTGCTTGACGCTGAGGGTACTTTTGGGTCATGACTGGACCCAAAGCCTTTCTTTGGCCTTGGTTCTCTGGACCTAGCACTTAGCTTTCTTCTTTACAGTAACTGTTACCTTTCATTAAGTAACCTGGGGCATAACCCTGGGGGCTGGGCACTCTAAGGAGTGGGCCACATTTGAATCTTTGCCCTGCTGAAGACGGTTGGTGAAGATGGCTGTGAATTACTGACACCTGGGTGAACGCCACTAATTCCTAATTTCTGCTCATAATGGACAAAGTTGTTGCACACTCTACGGATCTATGTGGTTTTATTGAACGCAATCTACCCAGTACACTTTATAACTGTTTTTATGGGAGATAACTCACATATCATAAAGTTCACTACTTTAAAATGTACAGTCCAGGGGCTTATAAAGTAGTCAAGAGTCAGGTGTCCAGCACCACCGAAAAAAAGGGCAATGTGCTCATATCTCCCCAAATGAAGCCTACTTTCTAGCAAACACTCTCAGTTCCATGCCACTCCACCCACCCCTGCAACCTCTGATTTACCTAATAGCTGCAGAGTTTCAATTAAGCGTTTGTACTAGACAGTACATATACAGTATATTAGAACAATCCCTCTGTGAGCCTAAGTCTAAAACCCAAACAGCTTTGAGTCTGCATACGACCAGCTCGGTGACCTTGGCCAGGCAGGTTGTTTAAATTGGTTTTAGCTTCTCCATATGATGAAGTTGAGGTGTGTAAGAGCAATTTTGAGTTGCTGGGGTTTGTTTTTTTTTCTTAAAGCAAGCCAACAAAACCACCCAAACCCCAGCCCTCTAGCTATAATTTCAATATTCCACCCTAGGGAACCCGTCCCGCGGAGCCACGGCCCTCGCCCTGCTGAAGACGCTTCCTCTCTCGCCTTTCTTTGGAGCGAGCTGTCTATTTCTGGGTTGGCAAAGCAGAAGCTCCGGGTGCCGGCAGGAAGCCTCGCCCAGCTTGGGTCCCCACCCTCTAGCGCGCCCCTGGAGAGGGCCTGCCCTGAGGGGCGGAGCCAGCCACTCCCGCAGCCAATGAGCGAGCGACTGGGGCCGGCGCCGGGGGCGGGGCTGCACTTGACAGTGGCGGTCGCCGGGCAGCCGAGCGGGCGCAGCGGAGGAGCGCGGTGCGGCGCGGGCAACGGGGAGGGCGCAATTCGGCGGCCCTGGGAGGAGCAGCTGGCGGCGGCGGTGCGATGCTGTGGGTGTCCCCGGGCTCTGGCATCGCAGCCTCTTCCTAAGGTACCAGCTCCGCTCACCCCTCCTTCGCCCCGGGAGACCCGCGCGCCTGGGCAGTGGCTTTGTGGAGCCGGTGGGTGGGGCTGGGCGGGGCCGCGCCGTCGGGTCGCTTCCCTCCCGGGAAGAGGTGGGGGAGGAGGACCGTCTCGCCAGCAGCTGACGGCATCCCCACGCTACGTGCTCCTCCAGCCCCGTTGTGTTTTCAAAGAGGGTTTGTTCCGGGACAAAGTTAGATGCGGAGAGTTTGATGGATCCCTGGTCCCCGAGGCTATGGACAGACCCGTGGCACACTGCCCTGTACACCGTGCGCTGAACTGGAGCGCAGCGGACCGGTGCACTTTCCCACAGGAGCAGCCCTGCTCACTTGGAACGCTGCAAGAGGAAATTGCTCTGTGGGACTCTCCCTGGGGAAGGAGGCTTTCTGCCGTCGCATCTACACCTCAACCTGGTGGGGTTTGCTTGGCCGCAGTGCCCACCTGGTTTAACCAGTGTACTGTGGAATAGTCCATCAAGAGCTATGCTTTAAAGCCTTCAAATTTTAAGCCTATCTTGCTTTCTAACCAAAGATCGCAGATACACTGCGCACAACGGGCCAGCTACGTGTGTTGAGTTAAATATTTTATTGCTTTGTGGTTCGTATTGGCTTGTCTTTAATATTGGGACAGGTTCTGTGAAGCGGAGGGGCGGGAGGAAAATGATGAAGTTTTGAACCACTTCTCGGAGTGGGAAAGGAAAAGAATGCAGAACATAGCCAAACGTTTCAGCTATCAAAGTAAGACGGGTTGGATGAGCACTATTTACAAGACTCTCTGTAATGTAGACTAATCAGACTCAACTCATGCTGGGTAAGAGAGATGGAGAGATGGCTCAGGGGTTAAGAGTACTGGCTGCTCTTGCCTGGGACCTGGGTTTGATTCCCAGCACACAGCTCACAAACATCTGTAGCTCCGTTCCAGGAGATCCAACGCCCTCTTCTGACCTCCACAAGTACTGCATGTCCATGGTCCATATGTATGTAGGCAAAACATCCATACACACAAAATAAAAATAGATGTGTAAAAAAAAAAGTACTTAAAAAAAAACTCTGGCTTAATCAAGAATGTAGAAATAGGCCTATGATAAGATAACTTGGTAGCAGTAGTAACATTTAGCTACTGCTTAATCTCACAATTAGCAGATTTTAACAAATATGTTGAATTCTATCTGATTTTAATATTTACCTGATCACATAGAAATTTTCAAATGTATAGTCTTCCTATCATCACACCTTCATACTGTAAAACAACGTTACAGTCTCCCTTAGCCAGGGACATATTGTTCCAGTGCTTATAATTCACACACACACACACACACACACACACCATATTATGTCTTACAGAAACTCATTTAAGAAAATGTCCTTAGTAGTGCACACTGACTCTGTGTGTCGGGCACTCACTAGGTGAGATTTAGATTGTTATCACTCAAATGTAACATCATTACCTTTCCTGAGTTGTCTGACTTTCCACATAGTCCCGGCGGCCCTTCCTGTGGTCTTCCTGCCTCCCCCGGCCCCCAAGGGTTGGCATTACAAGCACATGTCACCATATCAAGCTGACTTGACTTTATTTTAGATAATTTCTTAAAAATCACATGACAAGTGAATGATCAAGGTAGGTTTGAACCTGGGTCTGCTTGACTCCCTGCCACTGTTCTGTGGCATCTCCGGGTTTTTGAGAGTTGCCCTGCTGTAATACAGTAGGGAATTGAAATGTATGTCATCTCGTGGCCTGACATGTCAGACTTGCTCAGAGGATATTTCCTCTCTCTGGGTCACTGTGTGCCCTGTGTATGGAGGGGCCACCCCAAGTTTCTCCGATGCTCCATCCCATAGGTCTGACTTTGGATGTCTAGGTATGTGAAGCCCTTGCCTTTTCAAGCACCCTGATCCCCCACTTGGTGCTTAAGGAGTAATCGACTCTCTCTGTCATCTGAGGCTATTTTAGTTCTGTGCACAGGAACACACCTTGCTGATTGGCAGCAACACATCCCCTGCAGTGTTCACAGTGACTCACGTGTCCTACTATCCCAACTGTCAGAGAACTCCTGACAGAGGCTGGCCTACTTAAAAGGAAAGACTAAAATGAATTTGGGAGGGGATATTAATCCAGGGAATCCCCCAAACTCTCTAGTACTGACCAAAAGAAGTGAATTCCGTGTACTAGGGATAGGAAGCAAGCCTTCTTCACAGTGGGAAATGCCTCATCTACGAGGTGACCTGGTGGCCTGCTGATGGATCTGGTAGCACACCTGTTTCTAATTTGATATTGTACTGAGAAACTTGTCATTTGACTGGCCAGCATTAGAAGTCATATCACAATTGTGACCCAGTAAGTTTTGAAGCTGTCTCTAAGAAAATTCTTTTATCATCTACAGCCATTGTTATGGAATTCCATTTCCCGATGGTGTGTGTGTGTGTGTGTTATGGTTTTTACCTCTCTTTGGTTCAGGATGACTTCACAGCACTATGTATAAAAGGAAACAAATGCATTTGGGGCTGCAAGCTGCTACCTGAAAGTAAATCCCTATTCTTGGCATTTGGTCGCTATTACCTTAAGTGGTTACAGTCTCAGAGTCTGTGTGCATACTTAAGAGTTTCAAATAAAGCCTCCTGTGCAATGGTTTCACCCGTCCTCTCCAACAACAGTAAGGTTTGTACGTCTGAGACAGCTAGTTCTGTTAGTCCCCATTTCTTGCTTCTAAACTACAGCGCCAAATGCCAGGGAAAGTAGAACCGATGTTTGTTTGTTGTGGCATTCTTGTAACAGAATGGAAGGTGAACCAAAAACATGTTTGGACTAAGGTTCCCTCCACTTCTTTAGAGGACTAGCGATCTGGGAATCTATGTGGAATTAGTGACATTTTCCAGTTTCCTAAACATATCACAAATGCATCACGTGCGAAGATGCTGTGAACTTGCAACTATCCAAAACCAAGTCTTTCACTCTGTTCCTAAAACTTCTCGAAAAACAACAATCCATCTTGCTTTTTATCATATTTCACTAACTCTAAAATATCTCAGCTGGAAGATTTGATTTTTGTTTTTAAATGTCATATGGGAAAGTGAAAATCTGGACAGTTTAGGGTTATGTCAATGCCAACTTTGTGTGTACAGATCACACAAGTTCACTATGGTTTGGAGTTCTCTTCCCTGGTATCCTAGCTTGCTTTCCTATTGCTGTGATAGAACACTCTGACTAATAGTGACTTGAGAAAGAAACAGCTCATTTGGCTTACTGGGCGTGCTAATTTTTGTCAACAAGACATAAGCTAAAGTCAGCTGGAAAGAGGGAAATGACAATTGAAGAAGTGTCTCCATCAGATGGGCCCATGGGCACATCTGTGGGGACACATTCTGGATTAAAGATTGATGTCAATTGATGCTGACTGATGCGGGAGGACCCAGCTCATTGTCTGTGGTGCTACCCTCAGGCAGGCCCTGAGTGGTAATAGGAAAGCATCTATGGAGAGCCAGCCAATAAGAAGCATTCTTCTGCAGCTCTCTGCTTTAGTTCCTTCCTCCAGGTTCCAGCCTTGAGCTCTGGTGATGGACTATAAACAAGCCCTATTCTCCCCAAGTTGCTTTTGGTTGTGATGTTTGTTTATCTGAGCAACAGAAACCAAACTAGGACACAGGTTATACTCCGTGATTGGGGGAAGCCTGGGCGTACATCTGGAGGCAGGAATTGAAGCAAAGACAACACAGAACATTGCCTACTGGCTTACTGCCTCTGGCTCTACTCAGCCAGCTTTCTTACAAAACCCAGTACCACAAACCCTGGATTGGTACTTCCCACAGTGGGTGGGCCCTTCTGTACCAATTAGCAATTGAGAAAATGCCCCCACAGACATGCCCAGAGGCCATTGTGGCAAAGGCTATTCCTGAAGGGAGGTGAAGTTCCCTTTTCTCAGCTTTCCCTGGCCAGTGATGGACAGACAATGTGTATGTACGAACCCAGCAACAGACTGTAAAGTAGCTTCATCAGTGCGTGACTTTCTTCTGTCTGGTGAAGCATTTGTATCTTGCTTTGCAAAGTACTCTGGAAATGCCCACCAAAGAGAATCAGTTTCTTTAGTAATCTGCTCTCTCTCATGCCTTGGTGTCTACATAGATACATCTTGCAGTGCTAAGTCATACATGGTCTTTGTTAAAACATACATTGTTGCATTAACTTTCCTTGGGGGAAATGTGAACAAATGGTTGCTTGCCCCAGATACGGGACCAACAGCAAACCCAAGAAGTGACAGTCCAAGTCTAGCTTGGACGAACCAATGAATTCAACTGGAGTCACTTGCAGGAGTGTAACAACTTATAGGTTCCTCCTTCACTGAAAAAGAGTACCCACCCCAGCAGCTACCTGCTTATATATCCTGGGAAGGGGTGACTCTTGTGCTGTCTTTGCGCAGACCCCACCCTCCGCAAGGGGATGTTAGTATGCTCAATCGTGTGCTGCTCTACTGTGGGCCAGAACAGTTGCTCTCATTTCAAGATAGCCCTGGCATGTTATGCCCAGGGGATGGACTCCCGTGACATGCAGCTCTGTAAAAGTGAGAAGGAAACAGACAGCTGTGGCTTAGCTAATGACTTGTGTGTGCCCCCACTGTTGTCAAATTGCCACCAATGATAGTAGAACATCAGTCTTAAAAAATACACTGTTCTCGTGGCCATTTAAATGTGGATAAAACATCAACGGCTTGTGCTGGTCTGCTTATTGGACTTTAGGCTCTGGGAAGGCAGGGACCATCTGCGTCCTGTTCGTGGGAGATGACAACCACTTGTGGGACAGCGACACACAATAATCATGTATAGAGGAAGTTTGAACACCCTCTATGGAAAGCACGGGAACACTTCAAGGTGTCTTTAAATTCTGATATCTATAAAAATGCCAACTGCACGTCAGCAGTGAATCCTGCCCCTGATCTACAGAGGCCCTTTTTAAAAATATGTGATGGCATTACAAAAC